CATTGTCAAGCTCTGCACCTTGCAATTTAGAAATTTGTGTAAATCTATTTTGAAATTCTTCGGCGATTCTAGATGCCTACAGGATTAATTAATTTATTTGATTAGTACAAACAAGCCCATAAATACTTATCATACTATTATTATATTAATTGCAAAAACTTTAATGAAATTTATAATTACTTGTTGAGCTTCTTCACCTGTAACAGCAACAATTCTACGAGTTCCTTTAGCAATACCTGATTCTTCTAATATAATAAAACCTTTTATATCTCCTGTTTTTGCAACATGACTAAATTTTTTTTTAAAAAAATCAATCAAAATATCTTTTTTGAAAAAAACAATCTAGCTTATATATATACTAACGTTCCACCACAGAATTCTATTGAGGTATCATTCCATCTTGGGTTTGAGACATCTTTTATAATGTCATCAATGTCATAACCAATCGAAACAACCCTTACTGGATCTGGATAAACTTCTCCAAATACTGCACGAAGTCCATGAATTGCTTTGGCAACTTGTAATGAAACATCTTTAGAATATACTTTTTTATTGTTTTTAATAAATTGATTTGAAATTTCTTCAACTCGTTTTATTTCATCATTTGTTGCACCTTTCTATATGAATATATAAATATAAATATGAATATCCCAAAACAGCCATATATCAATGATAATAGGTACCTTTAGTGAAAAGTCAAATCTTAACTTGTCTGGTGCAACCAAAGAACCTTTCTGATCAATGACAGTACCAAAAACTTCACGTAAAGCAAAATTTAATATATGAGTGGCAGTATGATTGTTTCTAATCGGCCAACGACGTAGCTAAATTAACAAAGAAGAGATTAATTATTATTCACATTATTTGTATTATTATTATTTTTACCTCTTCATATGTAGCAACTACAGAATCATCAACAGATAAATTGCCATATTTCAAATATCCAACATGTAAAACATATCCACCATAAACTTGCACATTCTCTACCACAAATTCTGCCTGTCCATCAATGGTCAATGAACCTGTGTCATATGTTTGACCACCTTGTTCTGCATAGAAATTGGTTCTATCAAGTATAATTCCAAACCTTTTTCCTTGCTGAATTGAGTCTTTTGAAGTTTTAATGAAATCATGATTATGAAATATTGCTTTAATTGTTGCATTGATATTTCCGGTTTCTATTCAAATATAAACATCCAATTAACAAATGATGATATTAACAATATAACAATAGTTCACAGCAATAATATAAAATCTCACGCACGATATTTATAGCTATCATCATTTCATTATCACTATTACTATTGCCACTATTTCACTCTTTTACTATTATACTATTAATATAACATTGAAGAAATGGGAGAAACTGGCCCATGTGGACCATGTTCAGAAATTCA